GCCGGCGGACTATGAAAGCAGCCAATGGCGGCCAAGCAAAGATGGGCCGGGGCGCGCGCGGTGCGCCCGGCGGCCACCGTCGCATCCGCGACACTCCTCCGGCCTAGGGGGTGAGCGGGGCCACGGTGCCCTTCCAGGGACGATACACACCGGCCCCCCAGAATAGAGGCCGGTCAGACCGAAACCCCCTAAACACAGCTAAACAAAATTAGCCATCTTGCCGTAACGCCTGTACACACCTTCCTAACCTAGGTTCGAGTCGTGTCCTGAAGACAGGAAGGAAATAAGAGAATAGAGATCTTGGGGCTAAGAGGGAAAAAGATGAACACGTGAATAGTGCTTTAAGGACATACATGAACACACGTCATACGCGGGCCACCGTCGCATCCGCGACACTCCCAAGGCGAGCGACAAGCCGGCCCAGGGGGGTGAGCGGGGCCACGGTGCCCTTCCAGGGACGATACACACCGGCCCCCCAGAATAGAGGCCGGTCAGACCGAAACCCCCTAAACACAGCTAAACAAAATTAGCCATCTTGCCGTAACGCCTGTACACACCTTCCTAACCTAGGTTCGAGTCGTGTCCTGAAGACAGGAAGGAAATAAGAGAATAGATATCTTGGGGCTAAGAGGGAAAAAGATAAACACGTGAATAGTGCTTTAAGGACATACATGAACACACGTCATACGCGGCTCTGAGCACCATATAAACCAGTGAGCGAATAAAATAAAAAAAAGTAAGGCGAAATACTGACGCACTAAACAATCGCAAACTACACTAGAGAGTAGGTGAGACTCTAGGAGCAACTCACTAACTCATCCTCAAGTAAACCTAAGGCTGACTTATAGGTGAGAAATCAAGCGTAGAATATGACTGCCATACAATAGACGACCTGAATTGTCGCTGCTTTCGCTATCTTTCCTTGACGACTAACTGCTGACCACTTGACTACTTGCATTGACTGACATGATGTTGACTTTGACATTAGGACCGCAACTCTCGCATCGAACCATAACCAACTTCCAGCAACCAAAGATCGAACTCGACATCGACCAACACCATCTTGCCCATCAACAGTCGACTCGTTGACCACTGTCTCGACCAACTCCCTCGGGCAACCAACCATTCAACCAACGAATTGACCAAAACCTAAACGAAAGACAGGGGTGCGCACTTAAGGGCGCACTTTAAACACGCATTAAAATACAGACACAGGAAACTGACAAAATGTAACGACAAGCAAACTTATCTGCGTAAACTTGCCCTCACAACTTGCTGCCAAACAACCAAGTCGAAACACATCGCCTGTCACTCATGCCTGAAAACGTATTAACGGATGGGATTAGTCCACCATCCGTACGTATTATCGCACGTGTTGATTGACTAGGGCTCCTCTCTCGCTCCCGAATCATGCCAGTAGCGAGATGTCGTCCTGCGTCGATCCCCTCATTCCTGGGCTGATCGCCTGTCCACCGAGCGAGGTCTGCGCCTCACATGCGACGGACGCTGCTGACCGCCTGGAGGGATCTCCAAGTACGAAGAGTACCTTGCGACTGATATTGTTTCACTCGTACCTGAACGACGTCGCCATACCAGTTCCTACTGGCGACTCGCTTCCTCTTCCGACCCGTTCGCCTTCGACGACTGGACCAGTGGGGTCCATCCTTCCGAGTCAGCGAGACGGAGGGGCTCTCGGGAATTTGAGAGCCAGGCGGCGGTTGATATGCGGGCTGCCAAAATGGAGTGTCGGCCTTCGTTGCTGCTGTTGACTTACCGAAGAGGGTTCGGAATTTTTGGGTCCGAAGCCTCCAGACTTCAACGGAGGGCTTGCAGGTTCAACAATTGGCGACTTAGTAGATGGAATAGGAAACGGTTGAGCAGGAGCAGATTTAGTACGAATCCGCTGTGCTCGCTCCTTCAACAAAGTACGATATCTCGCAGTGGTCTTGAACCCTTGAATATACTTCTACCTCCACCACTCGAGGTATTCCGTAATGGAACCCCTTTCGTGAGCTTGCGCACACGTTGTCTGCTGTTGACCTTCAAGGGTGCTTGTTTGCGAGTCACTCTTTCCAGAAGATCCGATATGAAGTTCTAGTTGGAGCGACTCGATGTAACGAGCAAACCTTGTCAGTTGCGCATGAACAGCCGACACACGGTAGGGCAATGGCTGAAGTGTACTCAAGGAGACATTCTGCAGTAACGCGGCACAAAAAACATCGCGGTCAACTCTACTATCAAAATCGCGGTCAACTCTACTATCAAAAAGATGAGTAAAAATTCCCTCCTGGAGAATCTTTCTGTGAACCGCGAGTGCGTTCAAGTAATGAAAAAGTCCCGATATCCATGCTGTCAGGAACACATAGCTGCCCTTATATTTTCTTCCCCCTGGGGCTCTCCCATATATTTGACAATATTATCAATCGAGGAACGAAACGAACGAAATGAATTGGCAATAGCAACAATACTATCGCAAGAGCATCGTGGTGCATATTCTTCAAATGCCTGGATGGGAGCTTTTTCCTCAGGCACATGACGAGCTAT